TTTGATTCATTTATTTAATTTCCGACTAATTAAAAATTTGCTTCCGATCACTTGATTGAGGTGCTTGAGAACACCTTTAATAAAATTGATAAAATGTATCTTGATATATTTTTATACGGAAAAGTATATAGATGATAGATAAAATTAATATTTTGAAAATTTAAAAGTTTATATGAACAAATTTTTCTTCAAAACGATCAAAGAGATAATACATTATACAAAAAATTTGAATACAGTCAACGTTCTTTATAACGAACTTTTTTGTTTTTTAAAAATTTATTGCAGAGTTTGGTATAGAAAACATAGGAAATTAAACAAATTTTAAAAAATGTTTACTATAAGAACTATCAGTTCTTTATAAAGAGTCGACTATAATAATTATTGTCTATAAGCATTTATATAGGCAATTTCTAACTTTATAATCTTGACCATACAATAGCTTTCTTTTGTGTTCTAACAAAAAATTTATTTCCAACCCTAAAGCTGATCTTACCGTTTTGTATATCTGATATTATACGAATTTGGTGAACCAATAAAATAGTCTCCTTAGTTATATCCCATCTTTAAGTAGAATAAAATCTCCTTTTTTATATGTTTTACCAAAAAATGAAAAAACATGGAGAAAAAGGGTGATACCGTATAACCTGGATATGACTGTATTACGTAAAGTTGTCTATTTCCAAGTTTATCTGATCGGTATCTAAAAATTGACAAGGTTGATTTAAATTATAATTTTTTTCAATAAATATATATACGATAATAATAAATTTGATACCGTGATATTGACTAACAGCTGATATTTGACTTAAATCAATTCTACAGCTATGGTATGGATTATTTTGCCTATTTAAATGTAAACCATTAGAAGTATTTTGTACAACTTGATTTTCAATATCTTGATTATTTTGTGATAATAAAATGTTGTCAGAAGCTTTAAATTCTTTATAGTTTTTTAGATAATACCATGAACAAACTATATCATAAATTTCAGATGAAGTAGGTCTTTTTCCAAGTTCAGAATCCCAACATCTTTGCATTAGATCGACAAAGCAGGATGGTGTCCCATCTATTATTGGGAGTCGGACTCCATTATATATATCTAATGTCAGGTATTTATCATATTTACGATTATGAAATGGTAGAATTCCAGAAATAAAGATCCACATAATAATTCCAAAACTATATACATCTGATTTAGGATTGAATGGTTTGGTTGTAAAAATTTCTGGAGCCATGAATGGAATTACACCGAAAAGCTTATGTATAGTAGAATCATCATGATCAAAAGGACGTGATAATCCAAAGTCAGAAATCTTAGATGTACCATTATTGATTAAAATATTTCCACAATGAAGATCACGATGAGTTAAACCTTCCTTATGAATAATTTTAATGCCATGTGCAATATTAGCTAGAATTGGTAATTTATCTTCAAGCCATTTCATTTGATTAGAATTTTTAGTTAAATATTTTAATAAATCACTATTTTCTGCGAATTGTATTACAAGCATATATTCTTCAGTATTTTCAGATACAGAACGTTTAGTAAGGCCATAGCAACGAAGGATTGGTGAGACTCCATTTTTAAAACTAGATATGTTTTTGTGTAAATTTGAAATTGTACAACATTTTATATGCATACGAAGCTAAAATATAAATACAATTACCTCTTCTAAATGCTCCGAAGAAATACCATTTTTGAGCGCAACATGTATTCTTCCAGTTCTTTTGAATTCATTTGAAACCATATATAGTGGGCCTTGCATCCAATCAGTACTATAAATAGTTCAAAATCCACCATGACTGACCTTTTCTATATTTTCAAATTGTTCATATGGAATCCACTCTATAAAATCTTCTGGAATCTTCAAATTTGTTTGTGCTTCTTTTATGATTTCATCAATTATTTGATTTTCGCTAGTCCAGTTAATAAAATTTTTCTTAAAATATGTAGTCAAACATTTTTGACACCATTTTCTGAGTATTTTTTTTCGCACATTTAGGACATAAAATTAGTATATATTTATTACCAAACACTATCACAAATGAGTAATGTAAAATTAAAAAAATAATTAACGATACTAAAATCCCTAAATATAAATATTTTTTGACTTAATTATATGAAACAAAGAAATTGCAATGCAAAAGAAATATAAAAGTAATATTTCTGCAAAAATAAATAATTCAATAGTTTGGATGTATAGAAGGTTCGAACCAGATGGAAAAATAGTTATAAAACCATCAATTTTCACGTAATGAGATAATAGTACTATCATTCTCAAATAACCAAATGATATAACAAGTGAAATTCTTACTTGGGCATTAAAAATTAGGCAGCATACAAAAAATACACCAATAAATACTGTAAGAGCAAATGTTGCAAAAAATATGCAACGCTTTGGATATAATACTATTAATCGTTTATGGACTAAAAATAATTCATTCAATTTTAAAAGTGATTTCCCATAAGGGATAAAAAGAATCAATTAGCAGTAATAAAAGAAGGGATACGTCAAAGATAAAAAACCAAAAAGATATGAAGGCAGAAAAGGAAAGAACAAATAAAGTGATGCTGGAATTACAAATTTATATGTAATTATGAAAATTTTTAAAAATATCCAAATCCATATAATTTTAATCTTTTTTTTTCAAAATTTATTATTCGATTCATGTTTGTTAAATATTTTTAACAAAATTCAAGTATTTATTCCTTTCTAAATAAGGATAATTCCCGACATCGCTGACCTCCAAGAAAGGCGTTCATGCATGAATTTATTTTGGTAAAAATTTTCGTTTAATAGAGCCTAATTCTATTTTCACACATACTGTAATACGTAGTAGAAAGAGAATGCATTTTTAGAAATTGTATAATGTACGTATGTACGTACGTACATTAAATTAGCTTATTTGCGCCCTCTAAAAAGGAAATGGCCAATCAGAAAACACAAATTTCGGGTATTCCGGATCAGCCCGACATAGAATTCGAACAAACGCGAAAGAAAATACTCAAAAAAGTGTTTAAATCGATCTTTGTAGACCAATAAAAAATAACCTGGAATCTTCAAATTTGGTTGTGCTTCTTTTATGGTTTCATTAATTCTTTGATTTCCGTTAGTCCAATTAATGAATTTTTCTTAAAATATGTAGTCAAACATTCTTGACACCATTCTACATGAATTTTTTCTTTCGCACATTTTGGACATAAAGTTAATATATATTTATTACCATAAATTCTAAACACTATCACAAATGAGTAAAATGAATAAAATAAAATCAAAGTAACAATTAACGATACTAAAATCCCTAAATATATAATATTTTTGTCTTAATTAAAGTAAACAAAGAATTTGCAATGACAGAAAAAACTAAAAGTAATATTTCTGCAAATAGAAATAATTCTATAGTTTGAATGTATAAAAGGTTCGAACCAGATGGAAAGATAGTTATAAAATCATAAATTTTCGCATAATTTGATAATAGTAATAGCCATATCATTCTCATAAAACAAAATGCAAAAAAAAGAGTGGATTTTTCAATTAGGTAGAATACACAAAATGTAACAATAAACACTGTAAGAGCAACTAATGTATAAAATGTATACGATTATGAATTAAAAATAATTCATTCAATTTTGAAAATGTTTTCCCATAGGGGACAAAAAAAATTAAATAACAATAGTATGAAAAGGGTATGCCACAAATAAAAAATCACAAAGATATGAAGGCAGAAAAGGAAAGAATAGACAAAGTGATGCTGGAATTGCTAATTTATATGTAATTATGAAAATATTTTTTAAAAATATTCTGATCCTTCTAATTATTTTATTAATTTTTTTCAAAATTTATTATTCGATTCATGCTTGTTAAATATTTTTAACAAAATCCGAGTATTTACACAATGTATTCATTTCTAAATAAGGATAATTCCCGAAATCGCTGACACAATGTATTACCCTGGCTCAACTCTCTCACATGAATTCTGTCAGGAAGAAATTTACAACTACCGTAAACTGCCATATACAAGACCCGAGTCTGTTTCATTTAACCGATTTTAAAACCTGTAATAGACCCATGGGTCTCTTGTATGGGTGTGGGTCTGATAAATGGGGGTTTATTCTATTTTATTAGTGTTTTCCTATTTGTATACCCCGGGTCTCTACACTTTACCAAAACTTTATCCCACGTTATAGACCCGGTTCTAGTAATGGGGATCTGATATCTGGGGGGTCTTGTATATGGCAGTTTACGGTAGTTAGTATATAATTTACTCAGTAAATTACTCTTTAATAACAACCCGGGTAGTATTATAGCAATTTGAAATTTACATCAAGATTTTTACTATTTAAATAAAAAAAAAACTTTTCAATGGCTAAGAAAAATTTTAACTTTACAATTAATAATGTTAAAGTTTAAGCCATTGTGACGAAACCCTTGAGTATTGTCTTGCTGAGTTGCTTGTAGAATTGATAAAGGATCAAAATCGGTTAAGTGAATTAGCCTAAGTCACAATAATTCATATGAGAATAAACTCGACCCTACCTACATAATATATCTCACAAAATTATGATAATTCTAATACAAACTTTAGTTCATAGTAGAAGTCACGATAATTCTGATACAAACTAACTTGACTTAACTATATATTTTGCCTGACTAGAATATCAAATCCTGTAGATTTTTGCAGAAATTCTTAATACTGTAAAAGCAACCCATGAATCGTATTTTGTAAGCTTTTTTTTGTATCATATAAACATGTGAGAATCTATAGCAGCATATATAAAAGGTTAATTATCAGGCTATTAAATTTGAGATGTTTAACCAAATTACAATAACAGATAAATTATCCTGATTTTAAAATTTATAACATATCAATATTATTAGAACAGCACTAGTTATCTGATCTTTTGTAATCTTGGTTATTAAAATTACATATCTAATAATTAAATATTATTATAAAAAATATATTAAGTCCAATTGGACTTATAAAGTCCAATTCAAATTTATTAACCCTTTTAGCCTATGTCCAATTAGCTATGTTCAATTAGACATATCCAATAACAACACTATGTGGTATAGGTTATTATTGTCAAAGCAATCCTGTGTTTATGTCCTACTTTGTCTATCCAAAAATGGAAAAGGTAGTCTGTCTGAATTTGAAAAGTAAAAAATGCCAATCTTTTGGATAGGGTAAGCCAAATCCTCACTTTTTTCAAAAAAAAAATTCTAGAAAAAAGGCAGGAAGGCAAAAAAAAGGTATAATAGAAACCACTTGACCAAAAAAAAGGAGTGCAGCTTAAAAGATGCCTGTTCTTTACTGTCACCCAGTTATTACATAATATTAGCTTCATTGACATAAGGCTTGAACTTTTATTACCTTCAACTATTCACCAAAATTTCATATACAAGAGCACCACCTTCTGCTATTTATTTTATATACTGATGCTTTTGGCTTGTATACTGAATATAAAAAGAAGTTCTCTGATATAAGAGAAGGTTGACCTTTATAAAAACTACATTGTTGTCACCTTACTACAAATTATTATGACTTTTCAGTATAGAAAATAGACTTTTCTTTTTGTCAGAAAATTTGTCCAGGTATTGAAAGAGTTTTATAAAATCTATATAAATTTATATTTTATTTAAATATTAAAAAATTATGAATAAACATATAACTGAAATATCTCAAATTATTTTAAAAATATTTCAAGGTATTACAATTTCATCAAAGAAAAGTGTAAAGAAATTTCAAAGCAAATCAACTACAAAGAAGCCAAGCCTTGAATCTATACATAAAACTGATTTAAATAAAAGTCTTTATAATGAAGTTGACAATCTTGAAATTGAAACAAGTGGAATATCTACATTCTATGATGATTCAAATAGGTTCTAATGTTTTTAAAATTTTTAAAATTATTCAGATTAATTAATATTATATGATTAATTAAAATCTATTTAATTATAAATACATACAAGATCTATAGCCAAAATTATTAAGAATCAAAAAGAGATTCTTAAGGAAGTTAAAGATATTAAAGTAAAAGTCAGAAGTATGAAAACTAGATTGAAAGATATCATAAAAAAATTAAAAATAACTTTAATTTTCTAATAAAAAAAATATTTAATAAAGTAAATATTAAGTTTCAATTTATCTTTTAATACTTCATTTAATATAATATAATTATTTAAATAACTTTAATAAATTTTATTTATAGGATATGATTAAAGGTGTAGTTAAAGAACTTATAACAAAAGCAATATATTTTAAAGAAGAACAGATCAGAAAGAAAATAGATAATTGTATTGAGAGTAATATACCAAATTAGTAGAATGCCTATTATATAAAGAATATTTATGAATTAGTAAAACTTTTTTATTTAATTTATATGTATTATACTTTTTGAATTGTTTTAAAATATTTAATATAATTTTATCTTGAGAATAGACTAGGTCTATATGGGTTAGTAAGTCCTAAGACAGGGAGCGAAATCTAACATGGGTGATATTCAAAACCCAGCGTATGAATAGTGAAGTAAACCCATTGGGTTAGGGGGCGGATGGAGGTAGTTAAAACCAGATGGTTTAAATGGATACCCCCTAGTTGGGGTGCAGGTATGGCAGATAGTGTAGAACCTTTGGGCAGACTATTTAAATTAGGCACTCAAAAGGTGCACATGTGGCTTGATGTACTATCATTGTAATTACATATAAAACTCTATCTATACTCTAATAAAAAGTTTCCCAGGCCAATGTAGGTCACCTTAATACCAATATATATATATATATATATATTTAATATAATTTAAAACTTTTTAAATTATTTTAAATATTTATTTTATTAATTGATAATCTATTTGTTACCTGAAGGGGATCTGTAAAATTTTATAAATAAAGTTTACTATTGACAGAAATGTGGCAAGCCTAAATCTAAAACTTTTTTCTACTAAAACAATCAATCTTGTCAATTAATTAAAAGTTGTAGAGCTTATCAAGACGCATCTAATAGTGGTAAGAGTGTCAAACTCGGCTCAGTGGTTCTTGAGTTATCTTTAAAAAACCTCTTGCATATATATAAAATTTCTTTAAAAAAAGAAGACTTTTTTTAAAGAAATTTTATATATATACAAAACATTTTTTAAAGATATCTCAAGAACCACTAGATTGATTTTGATGCTCTTACCACCATTAGATATGTCTTGATAAGCTTTACAACTTTTAATTAATTGACAAGATTGATTGTCTTAGTAAAAAAAAAGTTTTAAATTTAGGCTTGCCACATTTCTGTCAATAGTAAACTTTACTTATAAAATTTTGTAGATCCCCTCTA